AAAATTTATTGTATTCTCTTTTTATTTAAATGGGATCTCCTTTTGCTTTCATTTGCCGAAGGGGTGTTAGTGGTGCAGCCAGCAAGTACTGTGCTTTGCACATTTTCGGTGGCGAGTTTAAATCTCGCGCAGCGTAATGTTTATTAATGATTGCCACCTCTACTGACCAAAATATTTGCCTCATGGCCAATAAGCCAACAGCCAGTCGTTGACCTTACAGTAATAAGAACGGTATGGTTTTCTGATGTGGTAATGCCAGGGCATGTGAACCATACGGGCTTGTTTTTCGACGTTTATTGTTACACTGAACAGTAAGCTGTCAGGCTGGTCAAGGCGAATTGCCGCCGCATGAGGCACTCGACCCAAACAGTATGACCGCATAGCTGGTTCATTCTGGCATAACCAGAGCAGGGTACCATACCCTCCCTATGATTTGCAGGTCATTGGACTTGTCACCCGTTGCGGGGGATCGGTTAATTGCGTCCAAGCAGCGTGTGCTCAATCCTTTGCTCACTGCTTTTGTGAAGAACCATTCATCAGCGTAATAAATTCTCGTGATGCTTGAAAAAATATGCATTAAGTACTTTCGTGCACATTTAAAAAAAGTAATCTGATTCTCACTCGTTCATTTAGATCGTTTGCCTTTTACTGAACAACTGAATGGGTTACTTTAATGCAAATTTCATTTTCTTCTGAAATGATGATTTTGCAGTACCGAGAAAATTGATTTTTTTCAACGACGGTGGCGCCACCTGCAAGCTACTCACAAATCGAGTGGTTTGATAGAACATAGAACGCTAAATGTTTCGATCCACTGCTGTACAAATTCAATTTTGAATTCGTTTGCGTTTTCGTATACTCTTAGAAATTACGGCTATGAGGTCAGTATATTTTTTCTCGATTGTCTGGCTCTTGAAAGAGCCCAGCCGGGCTGGGAATAAACTGAGTCAATGACTTCATCGAAATCGACTAATTCTAGGCATGCAGATATTAATATTCGTTGCTTGTCTGAATTACCAATGGTACCACTTAGAAATGATTCCTCCAAATCTACTTCGGAATATTTCTAGCTCCTTTGGTTGTGCGGCGTCCAGTTTTTCTTGAAGCCTGTTCATCCGTTCCTTCGAGAGGGTTCTGTAGATGATTGCCAAGGTATCAGCGTGCCGTTCTTCAGATCCTGCTTTTCTCCACTTTGCAGGGTAGAATCACCAATGCGAT